GGGGAGATATTGCAGAAAACTGGAGGAAGCAGCGAAAAAGAAGAGGATTAATTGCTTCTAGTTTATTTTTCGAACAACACAGAATCTGGAATCCATTCTAGCCAAATTGAAGAAATGAAATGATGATTTCATAATAAGCTTCTCTTGCTCTTTGTGTGTTGTTAAGGGTAATAACAAACCACTGTACATTGTTGAATTTATGACTGAGTGAGAACAATGAGAAGAGGAAGGGTTTTATAACCAGCAAATTGCAGTTAATATGCACAAATACAATCATTCAGTGAATGAAAACGGCCTTTTGTTATGTAAAGTAATAAAAATAACAAAAATTAAAGCATTAAAATATTGGAAGTCTGTTTAATTTATGCGATGGTCTCAATCCTCTTTGAAAGTTGTTCTAGAATACATTTTCCATCGAGCTATGAATCAACTGTTAATTAATATAAGTAGCACTTCCTTTGATTTGTGTAAAACTTCAATAAGAACTTCCTAATTATATAAATCTATTGAGGCAAGTGTTCCGAATAGCAAATATGAACGTAACGCAACGAAACAGTTTAGGACATAAAGGAACAGCCACTTTGTATCGAGACATGAGAGAAGAATGTTTTGCAACGAACCGGGAGAAAAATCAATCTCAACTAACTAGTCTTAATATGGAGATAAAGCCAGTTACAAATGAGTGGCAACGTATTATAAATGCACCCATATGTCCACCTCCCGATCCAAATCGACTTATATTGGACATCTTTGTTGTGAAGCCATAGTTATCCATTAATCAAAGGGGTTCCACCAAAAGTGGAATAAGCAAATTTGACGATGCCAGGATATTAACATAAAGGGAAATTTTGCGCATACAGTTGCTAATAGATCGCGCTACCTGTAAATAAATACATCAGCAACTAATTATTTCAAACCTTGGGTGTTTCCAAAGCATACCTTCACGTAATAAAACAAGTTAGAAATAGATAATAAGAAAACAAAAAGACAAAGCAACGTTCACTGGAACGTGTTTCAGAAACATGCTTCTAGAAATGTAGGCTCAATAGACTTCAAAGCCTACCACAGCACAGATTCAACGAAATTCACTATTTTCCTACCTCTTCATACATGATCAACTCGCATCTTTGATAAATACATTAATTAGTTTTAGGTTAACCAAACGAAACGAAACAAACTGTGGCCAAAGCATAAGAGTTCATCTTCAAAACATTAATGCAAAAGAACAACACAACAGGTGGTACAAGACTGATAGTTGAATGAACGCAAAAGACTTGATACTAGCACTAGTCAACATTGGTATGTGCCTTCAATTAAACTAATTAAACCAATGAAATTATTTAATAATAAGACTGAAAACTTACAAGGTGGTTGAGTCGCCTTTGGTAGAGTCTTATCATTCGAGGGAAGGTCCTTTTCGTCTCCACACGGCTTTTTATGCAACACTGGATCTGCAAAGTAGTACGAAGTCAAGAGGTTAATGCAAGCCCAAAAGTTTCACTATTATAGGCATTCCATAAAGCAAACAAAAATGGAACTGGGCCATGGAGCATGGAAATCATTGTTTTCGCACAATTTTCCTTACATTGTCCAGAGAACAACCCACGAAATCCCGTTGACGGAAGTAGTGAATGCTATTCTGAACGAGAACAGAAGATACGAAACCGGGCTCTGCCAACGCCACCCAACTATTCTAAGTATGTTTTGACTAAATTATTTCGAAAGAGATTACAACATATTCAATCCAAAATATAAGGTACTCTATTGCGACATAAATGAATCACTTCGTAAATTAGAATCCATTGATCTGAAAATTCCCCAGAAGAAATTTGTGACATTTTTAAAGTTTTATGTAAAGTGTACTCGTTTGCTTAACTGGCAGAAGAGAGCTGTAATATATTAGATCTTCGATGCCACCATATTACATATAACAGAACTATGGTGTTGAAGTAATTAATGCTTACTAACTCAGAAGTTCAGAATTTTGTCACTCTTGGAAAACGTATTACCATTCGTGCATAGTTGGAATTGATTTTAAGCGAACTCTGTTATGTTGTCAAATAAAGACCAATTAACCAGATAGAATTTTTAACCCTTTCAAGCGATTAAAAAGTAATTTTTCCTATACCAATGACTAGAATTGGAACGTGCACACTTTTATAATGAGAATATAGTTTAATTTTATGTCTATATAGAAATTAATTTACCTAAATAAATATTTAAGTAAAATAAAAATGATCATTTTGATTATAAATCTACCTGAGGTTGTAAAAAGCAAACGTATATAGCAGTCCTGATTTATCACGAATTACTGAACTTCTTCGTATAAAAGTTTTCAATAAGGGAAATCAATTCAATGATGAAAGAAACTAAGGATTTGAATAAAAACCTACTAGGCGAATCTCTTTTTGTCGAAGATTTACCGTCCCTGCCACGAGAGCTAGGCCGTGGTCTGTTACCCTTGTAACCTAGTTGAAAAAATATGGAATCAGAAAGGTAATTGTACGAAAGGCTTGGAGGATAAAAAAGCAACTCACGAGGCGAAGGTGAGCGTTTATTCGAGCGGGTTCTTTCATCACGGCCATTTCGACCTACACGAGCATCTAAAGTTGAGTAAATATGTATGATATAACCATTAAATGTTAGTGTCATTGATCACAAAAAGAGTAGACAAGCATACGTGGTGAGGGAGATCTTCTTCTTGGTACTGGATCCCTCCTTTCATCTCCTCGGAAAGATTTGGCAGGGGCAGCGGGTTCTGGCTTTCGCTTAGTATGCAGTGCTCTGCTGCTATCTGAGGGTTTTCCTGTAAGGAATAAAAGCGGATGTATCGGTTAGTGGTGCATGAGAGCTTCTGGGAAAATATTTGACCTGCAATCGGCAATGGATGGAATAAGCAGACAACCACATTCTTGAACCATTCGGGTGTATTGCAGGGAAGTGAATACAGAGACAGTAAATTTTAACGGTATTGAAAGCCATTTTTTAGGAAATAAAGGCATAGTCACCAGAAAATATCTACCTATTTCGAAAAGCCAAGTAAACCCAAAAACCTAACTGTAGATTAGCCAGCGTGCCTAATCTTTAAAATCATGGATCGATACGCGCGCGCTGACCAATAAAAGTACAATAATTTGGTAATTAAACAAATACCATAACTAATTCAAGGAAACTCACCCCTTCTGGGGCTACCCCTGCTACTCGCAGAACTGGAACTGCTACCTGAAGAGGTACTGCTAATACTACTTGAACTACTCCCCGAGGAACTGCTTCGAGAACCAGATGAAGATCCTGAAGAAGAGTCCGATGAAGAGGCTGAACTTGAAGAGGAGCGTGAGCGTGGACGCTTTGCTTTCGACACAGTAGAACTCTTCAACGCTGAAGAGACACCACTACGCCTATCTCTTTCACTGGATATCCGCCGTGAAGTTTTCTCAGAAACAGGCATTTATCTGCGAAAAATGAGTCATTTCACATTTAATATCAACAGCAAACAAGAAATTGTAATCAATCATCCCGAAGTAAGGAACGAAAACTCTCGAGCGTATGAGTATATTTATAATTATAATGTAGTATATAGAGCGAGAGAAATATAGGTAGAGAGAATCGTTTTATATCAACAAATTATGCACAAAGCTAAGGAAAGAATAGAAAGAAAAGAGCAAAAATAGAACAGCACAGCCATCTCCGAGCGACTTAAACGCGGAGAACGATAAAACAATTTGGTAGATAGCAGAGAACTTTGGGGAGTGGAGAGGGAGGGCATTTCTTCACATATGTACATCGGCTGTGTAGAGAGTAAGAGAAGCAAGTTCAGCAGCTTCCGCAAAAAAGAGATCAACTGTAGCCTAAAAAGAAATAACAATGTGCCTGCAGTGGCGTATACTATCATGCATAGAAGTAGTTTGTGGGAATTTGCGTATTAGTTAGTCAGTGTACATAGTAGTAACTATAGAATATATGTATAGAACATCTCCGTCGCGTCTGTTTAGCTTAAGTGGAATAAAATGATTAGAAAAGGAGTGGGAAGAAGGATCTGTACACATTCCACAGTGGGTACTTATCACAGCAGCGCGGCAGCAAAAAATGAGAAGAGAACAAGGAAAAAACAGAGAATACAACATAGTCAAACATGAGATCCAGAACAGAAGAAGCCCAAGAGGCAGAAGTAACGACTAAAACAAAATACAAAAAATAAATCACTTCCCATAACAACAGCGTATACGTGTAAGGCAATGACGAATTTGAGAAAAGGAAGGGGCAATATGATTTAGTTCATCCACTGACGACAAAACTGTGAGCCGCACAAACAGGGTATGCGATCATTCTTATCAGCTTCAATATCTAACTTATAGTCATAAGTCAACTCTTCACCCTTTTTAAGCAGTCGATTGGCGATAATAACAATGTGTTTCTGATTCTCGTAGGAGATCACCTCAGCCACGCAATTGGGATCACAGGAGTGGTTAATGTATCTCGCCAGTCCACCATACATTGTCGCATCCACAATCCACTCATCATCCGCTCGGAACATGTAGATACCTCTTCCTTGAGACTCATACAGCCGTTCCCTCTTATTACCAACTTCATTTCTGATCAACTGACCAAGATATTCGATAATGAACTCTCCTCGTTCAATATCCCTCGCGGCAAAAAGACCTAAGCCTTGGATTTTCGACCTTGCAAGATTGACATTGTATTGCCAATCAGTTTGTAGAGCTCTGTATTTTGAAGACGCAGATGCAACAGCTGCAGGAATGGCTGACTGACTAGAGTTAGAACCTGGTTCATCAGCAGTAATAGGAGGAGAACAGTATCGGGGTATTTGATTAAGCGATCGTAGGGAACGTGTAGCTGACAAGGGGAAAGCTGCATTTTGACGTGGGATTCTTCCATGCACCGGACTTTGATTTTGCTCCTGCTCACGAGTTCGCAAATAATTCCGTCTTTTGGGCTCTGCTCGTGCACAGCCAGTGGGGTTTATCATCACGGGCATTCGGGAGATGAGTTCCATCTTGCCAAACTTGAAAGTATGTGCAGGAAGGTGTTCGGCTCCTGGTAATGACTCGATCGCCCGAACAATATGAGACTCATTCAGACCAAAGAGCGATTCTCCACTCATTGCCTCCGGATTTACTCTACGAACATGTGGAATTAGCCTTTTACGTGAATCGGAAACCATTCGAAGGATGTGCTGCCATACAGTATTGCAGTTACTCGCTTTAAAGCAAATATCCGGGTAACCACGCTCTTTGACAGTAATTGAAAAAATGGGTGAGGGATGAACAGACGGAGGTTCATCAAGAAATTCAGAGTTATCACTGCCATTCGAACTCTGCCGCTGTTGGTTAGAATCTGCAATCGTACACAAGTAATGACACCGATGCCTTGGTCTCCGAAAGGACCAATAAATGCGAGTGGTTGAGAAGCCAACGGGATAAATGTGATCAGGTGTGTGAAATCGGCCGCAATCCACGTGGTCAGGTAATAGCTGACCAAGGGAATTGAGAACAAGTGTACCAGAGCGTAAAAGAAGTCTATCTGCTGATGTAGTTAGACACTGGGAGGTGATCACTTGCTCAACTAGAGCATATTCATCTCTCTCTAGATAGACTTTTCGATCAACTTCAAAACCATTTAATAAGGACCCTGCAGGAGCCTGACCTTTGTGCTTAGGACAATACATACTCTTGTCACCATAGAAGGAGCAGCCACCACTATAAGCACAATAAATATGGAAATAATCAGCACATTCTGCAGCAAAACAGGGTAAACCAGCACCGGTAAGAGAACACCCCTTGCACACTTGATCCTTTGCCTGATCAAGCGCCTTAGCAGCATTCATGAAGCAACCATTTATCGTCTCACTCACACCATAGCACCAAAGAATACAATTAGCATGTATCCACTTGTCACAAGCATAGTTCAAGAGGCGACCAACAATGGGAATTCTTGCCGAATCACTATCACATTTACACAAAACACACTTTGGAAGAGCACCTTTATGCAGGAGTTCAAACGCAGTAGAGATGCCCTTCGGCTCCATATCAGGTTTAGAGGATTCAGTATTATTTGAGATGCTTGCGCGAGCCATTCTGGCCAAAGAAGAGTGAACTGACCAACGAGATCCCTTCCACTTCCTCACCGGGGTACTAAGAAATGCTTTACGACCAATACATTTATTGGCGGATTTGAGAACGGAAGACCCTTGTTGTTGTGGCTTATTTTTGCATAGTTTAGGGGGATAGCTTTGAAGCATAACCGACACGCCAATAGCAGATGGGTGCGTAGAATGGTTAGTAGGTTTATGAAGCACTTTTGGAAGTGACTGAAGTTGATGATTTCGTACGCAGGCTTCGCTACAAAATGTCTCTTCGGATTTAGTGGCAGGATTGGTAGCGAAAAGGATCTGCATTTTGCAGTGTTGGCAAATCTGGACAAATGTCACAGCGGACCTGATTCTCTCCATAGTCAAGCGCTCCTCCGGATACTGTTTTGAATGGGCACAATGGGACGGTATGATGTTTCGTTCTTTCATTTCTTCCTCGTCAGGAACCTGTAATCTTTCCAGTACACTTCGTGAAATCCGACGTCGTTTGGCAGGTGGTAGGAAGATATCTGACGAAGATCCTGCTGCTACAGGTGATTCCGTTGAATTTCCAATCTTCATCGAAGAGAAAAGATTAAGAGGATCAGGGGAATTCGAGCGGACTAATGGGGAAGGAGGAACGGTGTGTAATTGGGAGTCATACGATCGAGAGATTGCATCAGAAAGAGCTTCACTTAAAAGATTGTGCCGCAAGTCAAGTTCAATCTTTTTTTCAGAACGCAGGTAGGAAAGAAGATCTCTGGGAGTGGGATTTGAGGGAGAACGAAGAATAAATGGCAAAGAAGCGTATTTGCGAGCCTGTTTGGAGGTTATGGTCAGATCTGGATTTGATGAAACATCATGACAGGGGACCTTTCTCTTCAAAGCAGGCTCCGGAGGATTTATATCAATAGGATTTTCAAGCGCAGGCCAGGACACATACTGAGAAGCGTTAATAGACAATAACCGGTTTAGAAGGAGTGTATGCTGTGCCGTTTCGGCATTCGATTTGAAGGGAGAAAATTTACCATCACTACCAGAAGGTGACCGTTTGCGTTTAAAGCCGCGCGGAGATGAATTGCGTTTCTTGGGACCTTCTAGATTGACAGAAAATGGAAGATAGTAGTGCTGTGTATCAGTGGGTAAAGGGTAAGGAGGAGCAAAACGAGTTGATCCACAAGAATTACTCCCAATGGCACTAGGGAATCTACCACTAACAGGATACTGTGGCGACACATAGTCTGATGACGGTCCACGCGATCTGAAATTATATGAATCTGGAAGATAGGGACAGGAGGAGTGCCGAAGTCGATCTTGCACCTGTTGATGCAGGAATTCTCGACCAGTTGAAGACAAAGGAAGTCGTCGATTTAGTTGATACATCTGAAGCTGCTGTTGCATTTCAAGACGTCTGCGTGCTTCAAGATAATCCACATGATGAGGAGATGTGGATGGGATTCCAGGTCGATTATTCGCTTTGAAAAAGTACGGTGGACGAATAGGATGATAGGAATTCGGATATTTCATTGGAACAGGATGGTGAAATACATCATTACTTGAATAGGTCAAAGACGGTTTTCTAGGGTGTTGAAGATAGACATCCGTAGGCAAGTGAGTCCGTGGTGGAAATTTCTTTCCATCAGTATGATAGTCAGAACCGGTGGCAGTATATCCATTCGGAATACGAGGATAGGGTGTCTTGACCATACTGACCGGGGCAAATCCAATTCGAGTTTGCGATAAATCATGATAATAATCAGGGTTAGAGTTATAAAGAGATGAGGAACGACTAGAAACAGCTGAATTATTAACGGACGAATCAGAGGAAGTGTAGTGTTCTTTGTAAACCGTTTGAGGAGAAGAAATGACATGTGGAGAATTTGAGATCTCATTATCACACTTAGCAGAGTTCGCCTTTGGCGTTACGTTAGAGGTGGAAGTGGGAAATTGAGATGGCGAAGGTGATAATGAACCCTCGCTTGCAGGGTGCTCAGTGTCAGTTGAAAAACAAGTATTTTCAGAATTTTTGGTTTCTAGCGTTCCCCGAGAACTACTTTTATCACTCAACATGGAAGTGGGCTCTGTGGAGCTGGGAGAAGAATCCTTAACAGGAGTCAATCCGGACCAAGATCCCATATGGGGCTCTGCTTTGCAACTGATGTCAGCACCGGCAATAGGGTGGTCGAGAAAGGGCCGAGCAGTAATTGAATAGTCCTCTTTGCTACAGTTGTCTTTCTGAGACCATAAGAGCGCATCCCTATGATCAACCGACATCTTGAATGGAAAATAATGACAAATTACAAAATGTTGAGATAAATTAAAAAACCAAAGACTGCATTGTAGCAGAAAGCTTTATGATTATTTGATTAATGGGAAACAAGAGGAAGAAAATAAACAGAAAATTATCTAGCACCTAAACGAATAAAAAATAAAGACATTGAAGCGAGTTATTTAAAAAAGTCAAGTAATATTCAAATAAATTTTTACTAATGCGCGCAAAATTAAATAGCAAGTATCAAATTACTAGGTGAAACGATTTATTTTTTTCAGTCGATAAATATTTTGAGATTGATAAATGGACGCGACATATAAAAACTACGGCAATAACTATGGATGTCAAAATTGAAGATATCATAAAAGTAAAAGTTCAAAAATCAATTATCTTACCCGTATACCGAATAAATCCCATTAAAACGTGAAAAAGTTCTCAGGAGGACATGATAAAACACCTAACTGTTGTAACAACAAAACAGTAAAACAATTTAAAACAACATTGGAGTTTTGTTTAAATACCAAATGAAAGCAATAGTTACCGTTTGATAAGAAAACACCTAATTTCTGGAAAGATAAAATAGGTTAATATATTGAAACATTGATTCGTTTTATTCGATTGTTAATGATGTTGTTTATAAGTTACAAACTGATCACTAATTGAGAACTCTTAAACACTATAACACAACGCCATAAAGGATCGTTAGGATAATGTTTTACTAAGCAATTATTGAACGTTTAAAAAATGTTAAATCTGGTGCTATTCAAATTCAATATTAATCCTCTGCTACTTATTATAAATATTTCACTCTAGATGGACTAAAAATGGTTTAACTACTGACTAGCTGAAGTTGTGAATGAAATCAAGTCCCGAATAGTTTTTTCTAAATCCAAACTCGGTTAGCAATCCATTGAGCACAGTAGTTTGTGTGTAAAAAAGCAGCAGTTCCTTTAAATATTGAAGAAGTTGAATTCTTGGTTCTTTCTCTGTATTTTGGCGAGACAAGTGATAGGGAAATTTAAATATAATTTATAAAAAATTGTAATATATGAGTAGAAACTTTCTCCATATTAACTACTTCAGACTATTTAGCAGATTGAGAATATTTGTGGAAAATAATGCAATTTTCAATAAGTTAGTAGAAGTATATATACCCTTAAATGTCTGCAAACCTAATTTTTACTTCAACCGATACTGGTTAGATATCTTGGTTATTCATTTTGTCTCAATTTATGCTCGTTTATTTTATGTTCTTTTCTATCCATATTTCTTTTTTGCACTATTTACTTCACCATCAAATTGATCAGCTAAACATTATAGTGTAAAGATATAGTTAAGCCTTCGTTTATGTTGACTAAATTTGTCCATAATCTTGATATTTAGTGGTTTGATGCCATTTTTAAAACCCAAAAAACGCTCCTTTGGGTAATCTTAAATTATGGAACCACTAAAATCAAGATTTAGGTTAAAATTATCATTGTCTGAGTGGTAGTCATTTTTAAGTTGTTAAATTTTTAGTTGATTCAGATTCTAGTTCAGATATGCATACGCTAATTTTTCAGTGCCAGGATCTATACATAATTGTGACCAAGCATTAAAATATGACTCTGGGGTTTTGATAAGAAATAAACAAGGCGTGTAGCTTATTGCTATACTAATAAGCCCTGACTATACTCAGTAATCTCTATGGCAAGCTCTCCTCGTTTGGAAAAGCGCCTGAACTTGAACTACTGCAATAATAAAATTAAGGATGGCATATTGCGAAGGAAGCCTTTATTGAATGAATGATATTAGCAAAAATGATTAATTATCACGTACATCTGTCATAATTTGAATGAGCATTACTAGCGGACTGTTTGAGGAGTGCTCTGAACGAACGACTGTACCCTTCAGAATGTTCGAGTGCGCAAGCCACAGGTGTTAATATTGAAAATGGCTGCATCATGGTAATGCGGAAAAATTAAGCTCTGTATTTCTTTGAAACAAATAGTCCTTTAATAAATTGTTTTAGCTAAGTGTCACTGCAACTAAAGTTATTCTTGTTTAAGGTGTTCGAGTATGGGTTTTAAAATGTAGTAACTGTTCAATGAATTTAATGTTTTATTTGACGGTCTTATAATGGAGCTTTCCATTGTTCATTCGGGACTTAAAATGTTCTTGAAATTCAGCAAACCGATATAAATTGCGTTTGACGAAATGGATTTTACCGATATACAAAGCGGCTCAGTATGAAATAGAAGATAGGAAAAATAATAGGGATGAACTTATGTCAAACAGTTTTTTTAAATATCCCTAATGTCTGATTGTGTGTATCTTGCTGATGGCACACACGAGAGAATCATGTTAGTTATTCTCATCGAATAGTGTCATTTCGATTGTCAGGTAGTAACTAACATATGCTGTCTCTTGCGACCATCTGTCCACCGTCGATAATTAAACTTTGAAATGCACTTAATGTTTCCTAAATCAATTTCTTTGTCTGTTATTGTAAAAGAAACACTAAATGGAACAAATATTTGTATTCGTTCGTGCTAGAAATTAATGTGATGCTACTTAAATGTTGATAAACTAAGATGCAAGACCATATAAAGGGTTTGCTGGCTTAAAAGCGCATATCTCGTGGTCGAATTATTTCAGGATTAACAAGATCGAAATTTCATATTTATCTATTCACAATTAAGCAGTAACATTATAATGTGCGCATCTTATCTTAAACTCTAAAATGAAAATGGATAACAATACCTGGAGCTCTAATAAGTGTTGCTCAATCTCAATTGTCATTGAATTTAAATATCGGAATACATGTAAGTATGTAACCTACAGGAGGAAATGAAGAAGATCCACCTGCTTCGATGTCCAGCCTTAAAGACAACGACCGAAACCTAGAGACACTGGGAAGCCAGAAGACAACTAATGAACTATTGTTAACTCTCCTAAATCCAAAAATATATGTTCCGTCCCCCCCCCTTGTGAAAACCGAAGTCAAGTAAGAGGCTAATGGTAAATATCATAAAGCCTATCAATTGAAATAATAATAAAGTTGCTAAATAATTAATACAAAATTTGTTACACTATTTCAAATAAAAATTAGCATAATCTCTCTCAAGATTTAATCGAAATTTAAAGAAAAAAGGCAGGTTCTATTAGGAATTTCTAGAAAAATTATGCTAGGTACAAGGCAGCTAAACTCATTTAATGATAAGCAGCTAAGTAATTATATACTTCAGTGTAGGATGGGTATAAATATCTTGTAATACCATGAAGGTCTCTTCATTATAATTCCTACATATTAAGCCAAAAAGAATCATTATCAAATACTGTTAAGAAAATGTACCAATTTTTTTTGTTTTATATAAGTTGGTGCAAATTATTTACCCACTGAATTAAAGATAATAGAAACATACATGCAATTCTTATATGTGCTTGTCTAACTTCAGTTTCTGTTTTAGTAATATGCTTTAGTGCCTGAAATATTTTTTCCATTTGGGCTTAGAATTACTCAAAGTTTTTATCCCTGTCAAACGTTTATGCTAACCAGTCGCTAAGCGGGTTCTTTATAAAAGCTTCCTGGAACTACCTTACTCTTCATCTTTGTATTATCGGGAATGAATTTATTCGGCAAGAAGAAAACTCCCCAAGAACAACTAAGGGAAAATAATCGAGTTCTTCGGCGTACGATGAATGAATTGGATCGGGAGAGATCTCGACTTGAGATGCAGGAAAATAAACTAAAGGCTGATATTGTTAAGATGGCCAAACAAAACCAGATGGAGACTGTAAAAATAATGGCAAAAGATTTAGTTCGAACTCGAAACTACATTACAAATATGATTAAGATGAAGGCCAATATTCAGGCCATTAGTTTACGCATGCAGTCAATAAATTCCACTGCCCAAATGTCCGATTCCATGAAACAAGTGACGAAGACTCTTGTCTTAATGAATAAGAAGATGAACTTGCCCGAATTACAGAAGATTCTTATGAATTTTGAAAAGGAATCTTCAAAGATGGAAATGAAAGAAGAAATGATCTCTGACGTCATGGATGACGTATTTGAACAAGAAGGGGATGATGCCGCAACTGAGACGATTGTTCAACAGGTAAATTTATGCTTACTTTTAGCTTGCTTTGTTCTAATTTGTGCCGCTTTTTATTTTACCTGTGTGTCTGGTCGGCCTTGTTGCATTTCTAGGTGATCATAACATTTGGGTTTGTTACGACTTCCTTTTTGTCGGACCTTATTTTATTTTTCGAATCCCTTTGGTATTAGTTTAATTTATTCCAATCTCAGTCGCTCACCTTGGAGAGATAAACAGTTACAAAGCCATTATTTTGGACGGGGATTGGTTTATGCTAACCGAAGTGACGGTGCTATTGATAAAGTTCGTTTTAGCTTATTTCGAAATATGGCTTTTGGTTCACCCTTCTTTCAAACTGATGCCAAAACAATATACTTTTTTCACCAATGAAAACCACTTTCGCGTTTATTCGTTTCTAATAAATTTGGTACTTTTTTTATTTGTTGGTCTTAATTTACGTCAACATTCCTTCATTGCTTGGCTTTGTTCTTTTTTAGGTTTTGGATGAGCTGGGTATCGAGATTTCCGGTGGTGTTAACGGCCTACCGACATTGGCTGGTAGCATTGCAGGAAATGAGGGTGCCATTAAAAATCGTAATGACGCCTTACCTGTTCCCGCAACTGGTGCTGACCCTGGCGCTTCCACGGAAACTGACGAGCTTGAAGCTCGACTTCGCAATCTTAAGCGCTAATATCGATGTCATTATCTTTTGGCCCTCTGTAAATCTCGTCCTCCGTTCTCTCCCAGAGACAAATCAACCATATTTTATTCCTTTATTATCTATCTCCCTCCTGTTCTTGTTACTTGGGGTTTGTCTCCCTCAACAAACTCGTTTATTTAGCACTAATATCCATCAGAATAAAATCAATGTATTTTTTGTTTATTTGTAGTTGTTTTTTTAAAGCGTTTCACGTATTTCCTTCTAAAATCAACGAAGTTGTAAGAAATAGATACTGGTGGTATCCTTAAAGTTCACTTATACCGCTGCAAAATTCACAACTTTACTGCCCACGCGATAGTTAGATGCCAGTAAAACGCAACTCATGATATATACATGTATCTATTATCTATATTGGCTAATTCGGCAATAACTTTGCCCTTTGTCATCCACGTGCTTTGTGCATGTTCCTAAAAGGCGTTTAACTTATCGACAATTTGTCCCCTATTTGGTTACAGTAGCGTAGATGAAGTTTACTACGCGACAAAGGCTACTGCCAATAAGAATCAGGAGCTGCGATCGATTTTTATTAGAAAATTATTGACATCTTAGGTTGCATTTTAATCAAGTACTATTACATGTCTTTCTAATTCTGTTTCAATGACAGAGTCTATCAAAAATTTCATTATACTGGCAAAGTTTACTTGAACTATTTTTCGATTGCCACTCTTACACTTATAACTACAGAAGATTGATTTAAAAAAATATATTTGCGTATGCATAACTCCACGTGGTGCACCCTGGACAACCTATACTCATACGGCAAAAAGTCTATTAACTGGCAGTTGACTTCTCACTTCAAACTACCATCACCTCGCTCTATGCCATATTCGACTATTTTCACAGTACTCACCTCAACTTTTTTCTACCTTTGTGTTTGTCTCTTACGTCTTTGAAACACTCTTCTGTTCCCTCCTCCCTCTCGACTTTTTTCAATTTGATGTTCTTTCCCCTTTGTGAAGCCTGAAATCAACTAAAGGGCTAATGATAACCATCAAGACGCTTGTCATTTGATATAAATAAATTTTAATTAATAAAAAGGTCGCTAGGGCATACCTTACAGAGTATACGTTAGTTATGTACTAGTGTATTTACTGAACAGAAAGCACATCTTCGAACGGACTTGTTCACTACTTCCCTCTCATACGACTAGCAATTGAACCGACCAAGTTAGCGGTTCTGATTCACTAATACAGTAGGAGGCATAATGTACCGAATTCACAAGTACCTCATCATTACAGGTATGGCGAGCCCACTGTGCAATAGCGATATGCCGCCCCCGTAAATTTTGAATGT